TTGATTTATTGTAGAGATGAGGTCTTGCCAAGTTGCCCAGGCGGGTCTCGAACCCACGGGCTCAGGCAATCCACTCACCTCAGCCTCCCAAAGGCGTGGGATTACAGGCTGAGCCACCAAGCCCGGCTCTTTTTCTTTCTTTATTGTATTTTATTTTTTATTTTTTTGTGTCGGAATCCTACTCTGTTGCCCAGGCTGGAGTGCAGTGGCTCACAACCACCATACCCTTGACCTGCTGGGCTCAGGTGATCCTTCCACCTCAGTCTTCCTAGTAGCTGGAATTACAGGCTTGCACCACTAAGCCCACCTAATTATTTTGATTTATTGTAGAGACGAGGTCTTACCAAGTTGCCCAGGCTGGTCACAAACTTTTTCTTTACTAATATTAATTTATCAAGTGGTAAATGTATAGATAATAGTAATGGCAAATCTTTATTGAGGAATTCCTACATGTGAGGCACTATTCTAAGCAGTTAGCATGTATGGACTCATTAAATTCCCAAAATAACTATAAGAGGTAGCTTCTATCACTAGACTCCTCTTACAGATAAGACAAAACAACGGCAGTCTAGAGAGGGTAAGTAACTTGCTCAGAGTCACACAGCTGCTAAGGAGCTGTGCCAGTATTTGAACCCAGGCAGCCTGGCTTCAAAATCCTGATTCCTAACCCGATGCAGTGCTACTTCCCTGAAATTCCTTTAGTACCACTCCAATTTCCTAACCTGGATCCCTTGATGGTCTTTTAGAACAGACACTATACTAGGGATAGTGACACGTACTTGTAGTCCCAGCTTCTTGTGAGGCTGAGGTGGGAGGATCACTTGAGCCCAGGAGTTTGGGGCTGCAGTAAGCTATGATCGCTGCACTCTAACCTGGGTAACAGAGCAAGACCCCGACTCTTCTTTTTTTTTTTTTGAGTTGGAGTCTCACTCTGTCACCCAGACTGGAGTGCAGTGGCTGCTCCCGGCCACCGCAACCTCGACCTGCTAGGCTCCGGTGATCCTTCCGCCTCAGCCTTCCAAGTAGCTGGAACTACAGGCGCGTGCTACCCCACCCAGCTAATTTTTGATTTATTGTAGAGATGAGGTCTTGCCAAGTTACCCAGACGGGTCTCGAACCCACGGGCTCAGGCAGTCCACTCACCTCAGCCTCCCAAAGGCGCAGAATTACAGGCTGAGCCACTGAGCCCGGCTAAGACCCTGACTCTTAAAAAAAAAAAGAACAGATACTAGCTTGGGTACCTGGTAGTCAGTCCATCCCTCGTACTCTGCGTAGGAACAGGATTGTGCAGGGTCCTCCTGTTATGAGCACCATAATCTGGGGTTCATGTTCCCCAGGAGCTTGGGAGCTCCCAGCTAGACAAAGGGGATGTTGCAAATTTATCTCTTCAGAACTTTCAGGACCAAGTTTTACCCCCCAGCTGTGAGGCATGAGGCTGCTTCTCTGTGCAGTATTCTTACTTTGCAGTTTTGTTGTTGTAGGTTTCCTTTTTGTTTTAGATCCCTTCGGGCTTTTGCGTGGCTGTCAACGTTCGGGTAGGAAATGCACTGGGTGCTGGAAACACTGAGCTGGCAAAGAAGTCCTCTGTGGTTGCCCTGCTGATCACAGGTGCTTAGACCCTTTGACCTAACTAAGGCTGGAGTGCAGTCTCTGCATGTGAAACCTAGGTTCCTCCACTTCCTATGGATTTTCGTGCTCATTGTGTTGTTTCCTTTGCCATTTTTACCTCCAGAGCTCTTTGCAGTAACCTTTTGTGTCCTGCTGTTAAGCTGTAAGGATCACGTGGGGTACATTTTCACTACCGACCGGTGAGTGCTGGGATTTTCTTGAAATGTGAAATCTGTGATTAAGAAATAGTCTCCACAATAAATAAAAAATGAGCCAGGTGTGGTAGCGCGCGCCTGTAGTTCCAGATACTCGGAAGGCTGAGGCAGAAGGATCGCCGGAGCCCAGCAGGTTGAGGCTGAGGTGGCTGGGAGCATGCCACTGCACTCCAGTCTGGGTGACAGAGTGAGACTCCAACTCAAAAAAAAAAAAGAAAAGAAATAGTTAATCTGAGATTCAGAGTGCCAGCAGAAAAAAAACTTTTTAAAAATTAAAAAGAAGCCGGGCTCGGTGGCTCAGCCTGTAATTCCGCACCTTTGGGAGGCTGAGGTGAGTGGATTGCCTGAGCCCACGGGTTCGAGACCCGCCTGGGCAACTTGGCGAGACCTCATCTCCAAAATAAATCAAAAAAACTAGGCGTGTGTGGTAGCACGCGCCTGTAGTTCCAGCTACTTGGAAGGCTGAAGCAGAAGGATCTCTGGAGCCCAGGAGGTCGAGGCTGCGGTGACCGGGAGCGGCCACGGCACTCCAGTCTGGACGATAGAGTGAGACTCCAACTCAAAAAAAAAAAAAAAAAAAAAAAAAAAAAAATTTAAAAAGGAAGGAAGAAAGAAAGAAATGGTCAGATAAATGCTATCATGAGAGAGGTCTGTGGTTGTTGCATCTTGGAGAGGTGTCTGAATCATTTACAAGACGGAGACACCACTGATATTACCTGGGAAGAACTGATTAGATGTAGGAAGTGATTTACAGTCTTGGGTGCCAATTTAATGAGCATTGGTGTGGTATTATGCTTCTGGTGGTCAGAATATCATGTATTTGAAAGAAGGAAAACCCTTTGAGTACAGACAATTACATTTCCAGTTAATTGTTTTGTTCCCAATGATATGAATCGTTTTGGTATCTCAGTATCTGCCAAACTGCTTGATTTGTCAAACCCAACTGAAGCCTGGACATGGTGGCTCACGCCTATAATCCCATGCCTTTGGGAGGCTGAGGTGAGTGGATTGCCTGAGCCCGCGGGTTCGAGACCCGCCTGGGCAGTGAGACCTCATCTCTACAATAAATCAAAAAATCAGCCGGGCGTGGTAGTGCATGCCTGTAATTCCGCCTACTTGGAAGGCTGAGGCGGAAGGATCCCCGGATACACTCCAGTCTGGGCAACAGAGTGAGACTCCAACTCAAAAAAAAAAAAAAGAAAGAAAGAAAAATTAGCTGGGTATTGTGGCACATGCCTGTAGTTCCAGCTACTTGGAAGGCTGAGGTGGAAGGATCACCTGAGCCGAGCAAGTCGAGGCTGTGGTGACCATGAGTGTGCCACTGCCCTCCAACCTGGGCGATAGAGTGAGACTCCAACTCAAAAAAACCACAAAAAACAAACAAACAAAAAAAACCCCACCCCAACTGAAGTTAAAATCTCACCAGTGAACTACCTCAAAAATCACATTATTAAGACTGGCCATAGTGGCTCACTGTAATCCCAAAACTTTGGAAGTCCAAGGCAAGAGAACTGCTTGAGTCCAGCAGTTTTCAGACCAGCCTGAGCAACATAGCAATACTTTATCTCTACAAAAAATTAAAAATCAGCCAGGCATTGTGGCACGTACTTGTAGTGCCAGCTATTCAGGAGGCTGAGTTCAAAGAATGGCCTGAGCCTAGGGGTTGGTACTGTGGTGAGCCATGATCGTGCCACTGCACTCTAGCCTGGGCAACAGAGTGAGTCCCTGATTTAAAAAAAAAAAAAAAAAGTGAAAATATTAGGCAGAAAAAGTAGGGTGTAGAACATCATACAGAGAGAATGCTATAAATGATGTGATAGAATATAGAAGAAGAAATTAGAAATGTGCATTTGCTTTTGTTTTGTTTTGTTTTTGAGTCAGAGTCTCACTCTGTCGCCCAGACTGGAGT